AATTGAGGCACTTTAGTACTTAAAAATTCAAACTAGAAAGAATATTATAGACACTCATACATTTCAAGTGAAAAAGACCTGAAAGGCTGACTTAAATGATCTAGTTGTGAACTACCTCCTTGTTTTTATAGGACCTCTAGTCAAATGAGTGGCAGTTTTGAATCATCGTTGTTTTGAATACATAAATATTAGATTATGAGTTTATACCTTGAAAACAAAAGAGCGCATTAACTTTGTAGAATGCAGAAAACAGTCTAGGAATGTTGATTTTATTTTTCTGATAGTGGTGATTTTGTGCTTATTGTGGTGAAACTTGAAGAATAAATTACATAATTATAAATTCATTGATTAGATTTCTTTAGCCTGTTGAGAAATATTTCTTTTCAGATTAAGAAGGATATCTGGAACTGCCAAGTAATGAATCAAAATGTCTTAAATGAAACTGCTCTTTTCCTCAAAAAGTTTTATATATCCCTGTGTTTAGAACAATATATTAGTAGTTTATCGTTCCTCAGGTGGGTTTTTGGGGGGTTGTTTTTGTTGTTTTGGTGGGGTTTTTTTTTGTTGTTGTTGTTATTGCTGGATCATGCTTTAATCCCATAGAAGTGGGGAAACAAGAGCAAACATTTATCCCTTCATTTATTCATTCAGCACCTATTATATATTCAAGGTAACCTAATCATTGACCTTAATATTGGTGAATGTAGTCTGGTTGGGGAGACAGATATGAAATATGGTATACCGTATTAAGTGCTTTGGGAGCAAGAAGGTAGATGAACTAACTTTGCTTCAGTGATTAGAGAACATTTTTATGGAGGAAGAACCCAAGGCTACCGCATTTCATAGTGTAGGTTCTGCCCTGGACAAGAGCAGCAGGCCAAAGGGGTAAGTGGGAATGAAATCAAGCCTCAAAGCCAGTGCCCAACCATCTGCCTGGTGAGGGATTGTGTCCACCTAGAGAGGATGGGGCTCTTTTCAATTTTACAAAGGCATCATCTGAGTTGATCTTGGGCCAAAAGCAGCATTTGAGGTGGTGCTTAAGGAATGAGTAGGAATCAGACAGACAGAATTCTGAGTAGGAAACTTATCATAAGTCATGGAAGCAACTGGCATGTCTGGGGAAGGATGAGTTTAGTGGTTTAGATTTGATCTGTAGGGGTTAGAGGATTTACAGTACGTTTAATCATGGGAGCACTTTAATTCATGGGAAGTCAGCTCTCTCAGGAGTGTCGGGTAAACGGCAGGGAGAACAGGAAGAACCCAGAGGAGAGGAGATAGTAGCCTTCACTACGACAGCAAGGATGCAATGGAGGAAAGGTCAAGGAACCGGCAAAGAGGTTGTGAGAGTGATGAAAGGGCCAGCGTTGACTTCACGGTTTTAACTCTGGATACCAGGGGAAGAGGTTTAGACTGGTTGGGGTGGGAAGGGTAGGTGCGCTAATGGGCACAGTTGGAAACACAGGAAGTGAAGGGTCTGGTAGGTAGTAAGAAAGAGGCAGAGGTTGTAAAGGCAGTCTTGTAAAGCACCAGTACATGTGATATGTAGTTAAAGTCATGGGTGTGAATAGGATCCCCTGGAGAGAGCATGTAGTGAGAAGAAAAGAACCTGGAATACCAGTTGGCAGTTAGCAAGGCACCGGTGACTGTAGTGAGAACAGTTTGAGTACAGTACTAGGGATTAAAGTCACATTATAGTAGAATGAAGATTAAAGAAGCATTTCAGGATACAGTGGTTTTCATCCCCAGTTACACATCAGAATAATTACCTGTGAAGGTGTTTTAAAAATGATCAGTGCCTGGGTCCCACCTCTCAATATTCTGAGTTAATTGGTCTTCTGTCAAGCCCAGAAATAAGTATTTTTTTGAAAATCTTCCCAGATAATATTAATGCAGAGTCAGAATTAAAAACCACTGCTCTTCACTGTTTTAAGAATTATAAATAAACCCCCATAGCCAGCAAGCATATAAGATGCTTATAATCACAGGGAATCAAAGAAGTACAAAATTTTTCACAGATGAAGAATGTTGGTGTTCTATTAAACTGGCAACAATTAGAAAGCTAAACAATGCTTTTAGTGTTATTATTCAGTGGAGCACAGCAGCTCTTACACACCACTGACAGGCAAGTAGACTGGCATAACCATCCCGGAGAGCAGCTTTGCCAAATTCACTCTTTGACCTAAGAGTTCTACCACTGGATACGCATGCCAGGGAAATCCTCCCATAGGGCCATAAGGGAACTTGCACTAGCATGGTCCATTGCAGGCTTGTGTACAGCAGGAAGAATTGGGGTAATCTGAATGGCCTTCACTGTGAGAGTGGGTTGGGTAAAATTGGGTGGATGTACCCCATCAGAAGCATGGATTAGATACATAAAATAGTAACGTGTATACCTGTGTAACAAACCTGCACGTTCTGCACATATATCCCAGAACTTAAAGTATAATAAAAATAAAATCAAGCTCAGTAAAATCTCAAGGGAATTTCAAAGTTTCCTTACGTATAGCACATTTTGGGAATAAAACGGGAAAATCCATTAGGTTTTTTAATAAATTCATTTATTAAAAAAATAGTAACATGGATTGATCTTAAAAACATAATGCTAATTTAAAACATAGTAAACAATAGGAAACATAATATCGCATAAAAGTACACACAAAACGACGACAATATATGTTCTGGAAAAACACATTGAAATAAAAATCTAGACACTACATCATTGAAGTGATTGCCTACACATAAGAAGAAAAGGAAGCACTGATGAGAGGGAAGACGTTACATTTAAAAAGTGTGAATCCAAGAATGGATGAGATAAGAGGGAGACTAAAAGAAGAGTGGTCAAGGGAAAGGGGTGTGTGTGTGTGTGTGTGTGTGTGTGTGTGTGTGTGTGTGTTTTAATAGAAGGAAGAGTTGTAAGTGTGTGGATGAAATGAAGACTCCAATGCACTTCTCCCTCTTATTTATTCACAGTATTGTTAATAGCTGAGAGATGTGTCCAAGTAGTATTCCTTCCTTTGTTCTTCCCTAGTCTGAAATTCATTTTATTTTTTTCTCATTACTAAAGCAGTGTGTGTTTGTTACAGATATATCAGAAAATTGACAAGCAAAACAGAAAGATCCGTGAACCCACCCACCTAGAGACAGCGTCTAGATCCTTTCCTACGAATATGCTGCAAAGTTAAATTTTGTAACCTGAGTGTATTTTTTGCTGAGCAGTGCTTTTTGAGCTTCTTCTGTGTCATTAGAAGACATTTGTGCAACTTCATTTTAAAGGGCTGCATAATGTCTGATGATACAGATACACCATTATTAATGTCCACCTCCCTTCTTCTGGACATCACTTATATTTGGTTTTGCCACCTCAAGCGCTGCAGTAAGCAAGCATAAGCTGCCTACCTTTGAAGACAACTTCCTATCTTTCATTTGACTCGTTTTTCAAAAGAGATTTAAAGATTGGATTTGAAATTGTCTCATGAAGTAAAATCCACCCAGCATTACCCAAGTCAGGGCACCAGTTCCCTTTGGAACTGTTCTGGGGCCAGTCAGGAATGTGGATGAAGGAACAGAGCCATTCCCCACTGTCTGGACACAATGTAGGTACTTGTCACTATGCCAAAGTGCAATATGGGCTCCTTGGTTTCTGTACATTAATCAATGATGCACAATTAAATCCCATACATTGTTAAGTGAGAGAATGTGGAATGTGTACATTACCTCACATGTGACTGATTATTTCATGAGCAGGTGGTGAAATAGGATGCACTGAGCTTTTAGAAAATTGCAAGAAATCACTGTTTATGCTACAGGACCAAAGTAGGTTCTTACAGCAGTTAGCAGAATAAGCAAGCCCAAGGGAAAGCGCGGTGTGTTTTTCTGAGTATTTCCTACCCTGCAAGATTCCCCCAAACCAGTAGTTTTGGAGATTTAATGTAATCCTTCCAGTTGGTAGGTTTAAGCCTGAGAAATCCAGTGCCAGTGTTTCTCCAGGCTTTGATGGTTAGGAACTGGCCAGGCAGCTCTGCAGCCAGCTTGTCAAGGCCCTGAAGACGTAGCCTGGCTGTTGGAGACAGGTCTCTTCATGGCAGGAATCCACTAACATTTCCAGATCATTAGTACAGCAGTTGTTATGCACGGTAGCAGAAGAAATGCACTTCTGTCTTTTCGAACTAGTCCTTTGTTGTCAAGAAGCTTTGAATAGTCAGAGCTGTTTCCAGGGCCTGGTTTGCAGCTCTTGAATGTATTCTCCGGCCTATGTATATATTAACACATCACCAGGTCCCAAAGAATTCGCACTGCACAGCGCTGTGCTTTTGGCAGACAAGGAAAAGCCTTCACATGAGTTACAGTTGATAGGGCAAGGGAAGCTCAGGGCTTACAAAAATCCCTTCAGTGGCCCTGCTTAAAAATAGCAGTGTAGGCCATAGCTTAGTGTTTTGACAGTTTATATCAGCAGTTTTCTCGGCTGATACATTGATTGCAGTTTGGACTTCAGTCCTGCTGATCTAATAAAACATCACCGTCATAACAGAGAAAGCAAAAGGATCTTCTGTGGTCCCAGACACCTGGCAAAGTAGCTTTATAGAGTTTCTGTAAAGCTAGCTTTACTGCAATATGTAAAATGAAGCAACACTGGACAAGTTGACTATATTGTAATTTTTTCGTCTGTCAATGTAATGTATTAGCACTATCCTATATATTTTTACAAATAGGCATTTGCTCAAAGGAATATAATGATGCCTTCACATGAAATGTGAAGTTTCATATTTCATTGAAATATGAAAATGAGTTTTGTACATCATTATCACAAACAACCTAACAGTGTGTCAGAACTGCAATGCCCCTGATACTTAGTGTGGAAACACACGAGGTCAACTGAGGTCTGAATTAAGCTTCAAGATATGTAAACATCTTCTACTGATAATTCTGAATGGATATTGTGGATATTTTTAAATCACCTGGCCTTCGACCCTACTTATGCTAAATATCCTTTAATTTCACAGCAATTGCTAACTATCCAGGAGGAGTTAAACAACAAAAAGTCAGAACTGGAACAAGCGAAGGAAGAGCAGTCCCATACGCAAGCATTATTAAAAGTCCTGCAGGAACAAGTAAGTGAATGAAACAGCTCCAATTTATGAATCAGTCCAAACACCCCAATGCCTGCCTGCCTCGTGCATCACCCGTGCAAACATTTACGAAGGTAATCTGCAGTACAGTTAGCCTGAACCCTGTCAAACCTCCTAGCAGCTCTGCTGTATGGAATTTATAACCTCATTTCCAGCATCGCTGTCCTCACTCCTGTACCTGTTTAGATTGCCCAGGCCTGCCCGTGTTGTGTGAAAGTTTCTTCCAGAAGACAACCAAATTTTGATAAAAGTTTCAAAATACTGGCAATGAGGTATGTTTCAAAGTAAGCAGCTGGTTTCCTCTTCAGTCTAACAGTGAGGAAAATGAGTTTAGCATAACCCATGAGACTCCTGCAGACACATGAACAAGGACTGATTCATAGCAACATTTAAAAACTATCCTCCTTGTGCATCAGGGTACTTATCTAACCGTGGTGAGCAACAGACCTTTTATATGAAGTTTGTAAATCTGATCATTTCCTTGTGGCTTTCTTTGATACAAAAGTGTGGCGCGACATTGATAAGTGGATTGGAAAGTATTGTCTTACAGCAGGGTAAGATGGAGTGCGCGGCAGGCAGCAGAGGGAAATCTAAGCCCACTATCTACATGAGAGGAACCAGGAGAGCTCTTGAAATGCCGTGCTATTTCTGGCCTTCACTTGCTGCCAACAATGTATGAATGGTAATTTGAAGGAAAAAAATTGCATACAGTAACCCCAACCCTCTGTGGGTAATCAAATGAGATTGTTTTAAATTTTTCACTGACACATCAAGGTTATTCATTGTATAAATAACCTTACACGGTATATATAACTTCAAAGGTGACATTTGAGAAAATATAAAGTCAGCTCTATGTCACTTTGTGAGTGATTTTTGATTTTTTTTTTTAATGGTTTGGGGTCCAGAAATATCTTTTTAGTTATTTTCTCCTAAAGGTATGATTGATTTGTGAGAGGAAAGTACAGATATTAGTCTATAAACTTTTATAGCTTTGGAAGAAAATGCTTTATAAAACTAATAGTTATCTTCATGTGATGAATATAGATTCAGTAACTTGTACTGAGGCTGACTCTGTATGATTTCAGATATAAGAGATTGAAGTGAAAAATCTAGTTGACTGAATTCACAATGACCTGCAGTTGAGGAGACCTGAAATCACTGTCCTTTCCACTGTTATATTATGAAAAGACTCCCAGCAAAGTGGAACTGAGTTGGTCCAAATTTGCTCCAAATCAACCGACATAGCTCTGAGCTTTTGTTTTCTGCTCTCTCACCCCAGTTTTTTTTCTTTTAGATAGCTTTGACTGGACTGGGGAGGGGTGAATTTCTCTTTTCTCTAAATGACTCAAATCCTTGATCTTGAAGTCCAAACCCTAGTCATAAAAATAGATTCTGAGTTTTGCAGAAAGTATTGATATATCTTGTGATGGCATGCATTTTTAAAGAGAAGAGCACACACAGGTATGGGTGAAACATCACACTTCACTCTCCATTATTTAAAAAACAGAGAACATGAAGATTCGAAACAGCTAAAATCAGTAAAGACCTAGAAAATACAATTGAGAAGGAAGAATTTTAAATCTGAAATATCAATTAAAATGGGATAGCTCTGATACCAAGAATCTTTAAGCCTGAGACACCAAATGTATGTGGGTGCTGGTGCCATTACCAAGCTGTTCGTCCAAGAGCCCCTCCCCTGCTACCCCTTGGTGGTTCTTGCAAAAGGGGCCATGCAGTGTACAGGTTCTTTCCATGCCCCTGCACCCACACACAGATGTGCACTGACGGCACCTCGCACCGCCACTGACCACTGCCTTTGAGGCTGTCTTTGGATTTGTGTAGAGTAACTCCATGTGTAAACGGTTTCAGTGCCCACATAGATGTGGCCTAAACAAATGGACACATGCAGGGGAAGATACACCCTTCTCTGCAGACTTGGAATGTTGCTATTCACACAATTGCCTCGTGCTGGGAATCCTGACAAGCAAGGACAGATCCCGAGGGCAGACCTTTCCCACCCTCAGGCCCCAGCCCCTCCAGGGAAGGCCAGGCTACCCGCTAAGCTCTCAGTCTTCCCATGTGCGAAGATGCAGCTTTTCTGGGTCCCTCCAGGCCCCACTGACTCCTGCCTTTCATCTCCTTTACAATGAGGATAGCTTCCTACCTCTGGAGCTTGTTCACAAACCTCAGTTTCATCAGACAAGATGTTCAGCCCTATCTGGGGGAGAGCAGCAGCTAAAGGAGAGAAGAAGAGGGGCAGAGAGGAGAACAAAGCAGCAGCTGTCCTGGAGCTGCAGCTGGAGGATGGAGAGGGGCAGGCTGCAGTGGGGAGGGGTTTCCTCCATGGTTCTGGCCACAGAGCACAGCAGAGTGAACAATGCCAGGAGACAGGGAGTGAGGGGAGAGGAAACAGGAGCAGAAAAAGCAAGGGCAGAGTTAGAAGCCATCATGGAATGGGAAGAATGGAGTTTATTTAAAAGGGAGGAGAGCAACTGGCACATCATGTTGGTAAACACGTAAAGGTGGAACAGACATTCATAAAATAGCCCTTTACTTCTGCTGAAAAAGAACAAGACTTTCTGAGCTAACCCCACTCAAACTCATGGGAGCACAAGTTACAGGACCTAAGGTGGGATGAGCAGAGGGGTTGATGAAGAGGAAGACGAGGGATACCTCAATAAGAAACACTCAGCTAGGAAAAGAGCGAGGGGATTTTTAAAAAGTCCTTTTGTGTCCTGTGATAATAGATAGTATTCCTATCACTGTGGCACACCTCTGCCTTGTCATATATGCCATACATCGCCCATGCTCCCCTGTGTCTGTCGTTGTGTAGAAACATCAATGATGTTGCCCTGAAGAACAGTGGGCAGACTTTCTTCTTAATTGGGAGTGATATGGAAATGAGTCAAAGAGGCTTTCGTGCATAATCAACTACCCGATCCTCAGTGTCTTCATGTTCCCATTCCTTTGGCAAAACCCCTCCTTTGGCATGGAGTGGGTAGGGTTTTTTGCTGGGAGTTTAATACTGGCCTTCAAAAACTGAAGAAGCTTTCATTTTAATAGGCACAAGTAGCCAGAAGGAACCAATGTTCTGAAGCAAACACATTGGTGGTATATGTGCATTGATTTTCTTTCAAATCTTAAGTATTTTTTCCTGCCATGAATACTTTGTATTAGGCATAAACAAGATAATGGAGGAGATGCTGCTTCCTAAATCAGGAAAAAATACTGGCAAAACCGTTTCAAGACATCTCACCCTCTTGCTTTGCTGTCTGATGCTAAATATCTGTTTTGAGTCAGGCTAGGATAAAATGACAATTAAAGGTTTCCTGAAACCTCCTGATAACTGATTACTCCTAAGCCTCTGAGAAAAAGAAGTGTTTTCAAATATTCACTGTTAAAAATCTCATTTGAGAAATATCGTTTCTTCTAATGCTTCCGTGGCCAAGGAGATGTCATCCAAACTCTTTCTCTACCGAAGAAGCAACCGTCTTTAGTCCTCCAGAGATGTCAGTCATTCAAATACATTCTCAAGGAGGATATGTCTAACACAGTAGCATGTTAAAAGCAGCTGAAAATGTATCATTCACGAATAATCGTTAATATAACATCATTTTGCTGGTGGCAACTTGCAAACACTGCAGGGTTTAAATTAATAGCAATCCAACTAGGAAATGAAATCATTTATTATTCTTAAGAACGGATTTTATACATTTTATGCCTATGGAACTGCTTTCTAATCTTATTATTTAAAAAATAATGACCAAGACCCATTTATTCTTGTGCCAGGCATCAAACTTCATGAAATATTGGTCTCAAATTGGCTCCAATAAGGCCCATTAAAAATATGTGCTCCATCTGTTTTACCTCGTTGGAAGTTTTATAAAGTACAACCTCAGATAAATCAGTTAACAAGATGATGTACTTAAGAGATTTGCTTGCTTATTCATTTTTTTGTTTTGTGTTGTTTTTCCTTAAAATTTGCAGTTAAAAGGTACCAAGGAATTGGTCGAGACCAATGGCCACAGCCATGAGGATTCAAATGTAGGTACCACAAACCTGGTATTTGTTCTTCTTGCTTGATGTTGGTTGAACACATGGGGATGTGGCACTTTATCTACCACATAAAGGAAATCAGAAGCTCTGCCTCTCAGCAGCTTAAGATTAATATATAGGGTTTGGCAAGAAAATGTGATTGACAGGCACTGCTACTGTTAGCCTGGTTTATCAAATGTCAATTTAGAAGTATATGAGTTAATCCCCACCATCGAAAATTCTAATCTCAGTGAGTCTGTTTGGGCTCTTTGTATTTCCAAAACTGTAACTGATGATATACTGGGAGGGAAATGGAAAGAGACCCGACAGGGTAATCAGTTGTGCATTGCATGTATATTCATTAAGTTTGCCTGCCAGCGAAGGTGGTACCTAAATGACTGACATGCTGAAAAGGTCTCAGAGCAAACGCCTTCTCTCAGAATAGCCCTTGAAATGTATTCCTTCCCTGTTCCTCACCCAGAACAGTAGCACAGTGCATCCATCTTCTTGATAGAGAATAATGTGTGATGGTACAAGATCCCAGTTACACCATGACTTCCTCTCTTAGTGTTCCTTGAATATCCAATTGTCAAAAAGTAAACAAGTATTCTTCTTGCCTTGAAAGTTCTTTAGTCTCAGATGGAATATTACACTATGTAGATCATTGCCTCTCCATATGTTTGATGATTTTGTCTTTTTTAAATCTCTCTGATATCTGTATGTATTTGATTATCCTCATCAAAGAAAATGCTTACTAAGCAGTTCTTTTCACAGAACACAGAATTAGACATGATAATGAATGCCTGATTACACTGGAGCTAGGAGAAATTATATATTTCTTGTTCACTCTTGTTTTAATTATATACAACAGAGAGCCTAATATTCAGAGTATCAAAAAAATCCCACTTAATCATTATTGTTCCTACCCAGCAGATATTTAACATATGATGTTTATTGAGGACTTACGTGTTCATAGTGCTCTGCTAAGTTCTAGGGGAACAGAAATGGGGGTTACAAAGAAATATAAGACTAGTTGTCTGCCCTCGGGGAACTTATAACTGAGTTAAGGAATTAAGAAACACATGACAATATACAGGACATGGTAAGTGTACAGGAAGTTGAGGCAGCTATGATATGATGTAGTTTGAAATCCAGACTTCGCTGCTTATTACATATGTTAGGCTGACAAGTTACTTAACCTCTCTGAGCTTCCTTTTTCTCACTTGCAAAAAGAATGGCAAAGCCTATCTCAAAAACATGTCATAATGTAATTACCTAAGGCCTGGGAAGACCTTAAGGTGTTACCAGTATGGTTTCTTTTTATTTTTATTTTTTTTAATTTAAGTTCCAGGGTACATGTGCACAACATGCAGGCCGCGAACTGTTACATATGTATACACTGTGCCATGCTGGTGTGCTGCACCCATAAACTCATCATTTACATTAGGTATATCTCCCAATGCTATCCCTCCCACTACCCCTCCCCACAATAGGACCCAGTGTGTGATGCTCCCCTTCCTGTGTCCAAGTGATCTCATTGTTCATTCCCACCTATGATGAGAACATCGCGGTATTTGGTTTTCTGTTCTTGTGATAGTTTGCTGAGAATGATGGGTTTCCAGCTGCATCCATGTCCACAAAGGACACGAACTCATCCTTTGTTATGGCGCTGATATATCACCATGGTGTATATGTGCCACATTTTCTTAATCCAGTGCTTCATTGAATGGACATTGGGTGTGGGTGATTCCAAGTCTTTCTAATTGTGAATAGTGCTGCAGTAAACATAACGTGTGCATGGTGTCTTTAAAGCAGCATGATTATAATCCTTTGAGTATACTGCACAACAAATATGGCTGGTCGCAAATGGTATTTCTACGTTCTAGATCCTTGAGGAATCGCCACACTGTCTTCACAACGGTTGAACTAGTTTACAGTCCCCAACCAGTGTAAAAGTGTTTCCTATTTCGTCCACATCCTCTCCAGCACCTGTTTGTTTCCTGATTTTTTAATGATTGCCATTCTAAAATGGTGTGAGATGGTATCTCCATTGTGGTTTTGATTTGGCATTTTCTCTGATGGCCAGTGATGATGAGCATTTTTTACTCACGTGTTTGTTGGCTGTATGAATGTCTTCTTTTGAGAAGTGTCTGTACATATCCTTTGCCCACTTTTTGATGGGGTTGTTTTTTCTTGCAAATCTGATTGAGTTCTTTATAGGTTCTGGATATTAGCCCTTTGTCAGATGAGTCAATTGCAGAACATTTCTCCATTCTGTAGGTTGCCTGTTCACTCTGATGGTAGTTTCTTTTGTCTGTGCAGAAGCTCTTTAGTTTAATTAGATCCCATTTGCAATTTTGTGTTCTGTTGCCATTGCTTTTGGTGTTTAGACATGAAGTCCTGTGCCCATGCCTATGTCCTGAATGGTATTACCTAGGTTTTCTTCTAGGGATTTTATGGTCTAACAATTTAAGTCTCAAATCCATCTTGAATTAATTTTCATATAAGGAGTAGGGAAAGGATCCAGTTTCACAGCTTTCTACCTTATGCTAGCCAAATTTTCACAGCACCATTTCTTAAATAGGGAATCCTTTCCCATTTCTTGTTTTTGTCAGGTTTTGCAAAGATCAGATGGCTGTAGATGTGTGGTATTATTTCTGAGGGCTCTGTTCTGTTCCATTGTCTATATCTCTGTTTGGTATCAGCACCATGCTGTTTTGGTATCTGTAGCCTTGTAGTATAGTTTGAAGTCAGGTTAGCATGATGCCTTCCAGCTTTGTTCTTTTTGGCTTAGGATTGTCTTGGCAATGTGGGCTCTTTTCTTGGTTCCGTATGAAACTTTAAAGCAGTTTTTTCCATTCTGTGACGAAAGTCATTGGTAGCTTCATGGGATGGCATTAATCTATAAGCATTACCCTTGGGCAGTATGGGCGACCATT